AAAAGGTTTGAGACTGAGTGCTGGCTTTCTCAAATATTAAGAATCTGAGATGGATGATGAGAACCTGTAAAAGAGAAGAGAAGAGCAGCCCAGGAAATAAGAGGAAATGAATGGTAAACAGCCCTTCCCAGAAAAGACTTTAAATGGCTGAATAAAAGGCGATCCAGGAGGACTTAGGGCTCAGGATGCTACATTGGGACCCATATCACGACTGGTCTGCAGAGGCACTATCCGGAAAAAAATCATTTGAACACACACTTAACAATCTTTGTTGTCATTTACAGGCTTTTCAGTTACAGTGAAACTATTTTTAACACTGCGAAAGATGCTACATAATATTCTATGAGCAATGCCGAATGTGACCACAGACAGAGATGAATTACCTCAGACCATCTGAAGACTTAAAATCACCCTACCACGTTTGCATGTGTGGTGTCTGAATCAACTTGTGATCAAATTCATTTCCTCTGAGATTATGACTGTGAACCACCTTCTCAAAATGAATTTGATTGTGGGTTACGTATTCTTTGTTTTTTTTTTTTAAAGCAGGGTTATTGCAATTGAAATTATAATCTCACATAAGAATTGCAAACAGCGCTACTGCAGATTTTCAAAACTACACATGTAGTAGCTTTGCGACAGCCTGTCTTTACTGGCACTTTGATTTATTTTTTAGCAGTTGAAACTATCAGAATTTGAAAATATGAGAATAGTCAAATAGTTGAAAAAGTATTGATGGTAGTGAGAGTAGTTTTGCTCTGCATGACTACGAGAACAGAACTTGTTTTTTCCACTGGTGTATAAAACCCGCCATCACTTAGCCACTCTGAATGGATGACTAGTGTCAGGGATGCCGGGAAATGAAAGCTCAAAGCCCTTCCCATCCCACAGCTCCAAGTGACTAGTGAAATATTCACACCTACACAGTCGAGCCAAGTTCAATACAAGAAAAATACAGAAAATAGTTTGCGTAATATGAGGATTTTTAAACCACTCTACTAAAAATAGGAATATATTTTCAGTCTCCTAAGAGTGAACAGTACCTAGTATGGATGGATTTTTTTTTTTTAAATTAGAAATATACTACATGTATAACTATTTTTTTCAGACGTTTTTCAAGTGACAAATGAACTGTGTTCTACTTATAATGCATTTTGTAAGGAATAAACATCATTGTAAGGAAGAAATAATGGTGTGTTTCAAGTTCTTGACACAAATGACACCCTGGTAAACTTTCTAGAGCATAATATTTTTAAGTCATCAAGACATCTAAATCTATGTCTTAACATACTTTAGCAATATATCGAGCCAGCCAAACACAGGTAAACCATTATAGTGCTTTATAAAAATAGAAATGTGACCTATGTTTTGCTTCTTTCCTGTCCCTCTTTATGTCAGCATGCTATCCACAGTGGGGTCCTCACCACATATTAAAAATTGAAAGGCAACAGCTATAAACTCTTAGAAACATGATAGGCAACCCACTTACAGCAGATGTGGATTTTTCTTAATGTTTGCCTGGAGTTCCTGAAAACCATCTCGAGCTTAAATCTCCCCAGTTCTGATGGATGGTTGCTTGTACCACATCTGGCCATTTCAGTAGTAATTGAACACAGGGTTTTAAAGTAAAAAATTCATTCTCACCACCTTGACAAGTATGGTTTTGTGAGAAAACTATTAGTAGTTGAATATCCTCTACTGTCTCTACTTCTCTTGCGAAATAAGCCAAAAAAAGTTATCTATTAATACATAGCAAGTTCTTGAGCTTATAAATAACTTCAGGAACAAAATATCCCTATAAAATGATAATTCTACACACATACACATACACAATTTATAGATACATTTTTAGCCTAAGCTATTTTTTATAGTAATTTTTATGTCTTATAATCCTGGTAATATTTAAATGGCAAGGAAATCATGGTACATACAAATACTCAAGATAAAATGAAAATGAAAGATTATTTAACATTATCCTACCAGATGAGTATCAGAATTCCAAAATACAGTGGAGGAGGGCATTTTAACTGTTAGTAAAAATATTTTTATTCTAATGAAAACCCTTTCTTTTTCCTTTTCTTCTTTTTCCTTTTCTTCTTTTTCCTATTCTTGTCCTCAACAACAAAACATAGAAAAACAGGAGAAACCAATCTGATAAATGACATTAACACCAATAACAAGAACATATATCCTTACTGCTTCTACATGAGAAGAAGCTATTTAACTTTCACTGGGAAATTGTGTTCATACATCAAAGAATTTTGTTGTCTGTTGTTCAATTGCTACTCCAGTACACTACATCCCCTCTATTTACTGTCTATGGTAAATTTACTGATGTTTCTAATGGGAAAACATATTTATTTATGCTAATTGTCTTGATTTTGTCCATCTTTTGGCTTCCATTCCTTTAACCAACATATTTGCCGTACAAAACAAGATCCTAGAAGGTATGGGATATTGATGCCTGAAGCATCTGTAGTGTTCCAAATTTACTACAGGAGAGCTGAAAAGTAAATGAATTCTTCTCCCACCAAAGTCATGAAAGGACATTTCTAACAGGTCCAAAGGAGCCCTTTGTGATTTAGAGGGAGACCGACCATCAGGCCAGTCTCCAGGTAGGGCTGCACAGGCATGACCTGAAGTAAATGAACAGTTGACAGCTGCTCTGGGTACACTAACGTTCACACTTCTCCCTCAGTTGATCACTTTGGTAGTTTTGCCCCTGTCGGCAGATACACGTACAAATCAATGAAGCATCCATACTCCTCAGTTTGTACTATAAAGACAAGGGAAGGAAATTCATTTGGTGATTTTTGTTGTTGTTGTTGTCATTTGGCAGTTCTTTCATTTGTGATAGTGACCAGTCTTGCAATATGAGAAATGGTTCCCAAACCCATGCATTCAAAACAATGTGAACGATTGGTGAGAATTTTTTTCTGAAGAACCAATTAATAAGAGTTACAACCAAGTCGTTTCTCACCATAACTAACCATATATTTAACCAATTTCTTCACAATTTGACCATGATGAAAACCAAATGAAATCAAGTATCTTTTACATAATGACATCATAATATAACAAAATTGAAGAACTTTAATGTTTAGTAAAGCTCACCCATTCTGATTTCACATTATTTACCAACAGACATTTAATTTACACCAAACTAGCTATTTCATGCCCTCTGATTATCCCACTTAATTAATTCTCAGAATGGATGCTCGTTCGCTAATTTTTCACAGAAAAATAAGTCATTTCTATTGAAAGTCATTGGTTAAAAATAAGCCAAAACCCCAAGAATGCATGTCCTGAAAAACTAAAAATAGGTTTATTTTTATTTCCAATTCCTCTTGCATGTTTCTGAATTCACTATCATTACTTCTTTATATTGATAATAATAATTTTCCTTAATTATATTTCAAAATCACTCCTTTAGAAGTAGTGTTGGAATCATACACTTACAGTCTGTGATTTTTAGTGTCCTCTTGACTTCTCCACTTCCCGATCCCCCGCAACCATCTTCATCATCACAGTCCCCGCTGAGCTGCTCATCCATGCCGCCACCACTGCCCGTGTGAAGTTCCCACTTGCTGGGTTTGGGTGACCTACCCTGTAACAACTGAATATGGACACCAAAAGCATTAACAGCAAATTCAAATCATCTAAGGATACTATTCAAAAACATGTAGAAATTAGAAACATGTTCTTACGTGGATCAGTATTTTGGTATAGGTACCTTACCAAATCAAGTGTGCATGAAAGATACAAACTACTGAAATGATAATAAATAATGGGCAAGATCTTAGAGCTATAAAGAGCTATGATCTACACTCTAGCTCTGTGATACAGCTTTGGAAAGCAAATAAAATCAGATCTTCTTGCTCATGGATACTTTGGTGAGCAAATTCTTGGTTTCTGAATACACAACATTTGAGCAGGGTGAATCAAACTCCAATACAACACAACTCCCTCTACAGTGTGTAGGCTGATGATACTGTATTGTTTTGTAAACCAACAGTCCAAAATTTTTCAAAAAGACGAATACTATTCTTCCAGAAATGATTCAGCCAAAAGACTAGAATTTTGGACACATACTTTAATAGTTTTATATAAACGTTCTTGGATGAAATACATAGTCCAACGTATATGGCACAGAACTGAACCTTGGAGCAAAAGACTTAGGTCCTACTTTCATTTCTACAAATCACTTAAGATATTTCACCAACTTCTGCTTCTCGGTTCTCGAGTAGTTCATTTACTTTTATGAGCAAAATAGACAAAATAGCCACTTTCCCCTACAGCACGGGAATGCTGGTAATATTTTTGAATAATATTGGAAATGCTTGAACTCCTTTTCAAAAAGGTGATGTTATGAATAATACAATATTTCACTTAAAGCTAAGACTGAGTAAAATGATCCAATATGTAACAGTTACCCTTCTAAGGCAGTTTTGAAGGACACATGATCAAGCATGATTTTCAGAGTGCTTTATGAAAATATTTGGGTTGTTATTTCTAAGAGATTGCCTTGATAACGGTACTGTTTAGCTGACAATAGTAAAATGCACAACTCGAGGACAGCATTTTATACTGAAAAACACAGAGCTAAATATCCTCAGTATATGTAAGACAAACACGCTTAGCATTTAAAGAATACTAACATTAAGCAACTGGACTTTGACAATTGACAAATTTTCAAAATTAAAAATGAAATTAGGTCACGAATTCTGAAACATTGTACTTTCTTAAAATTTTATTTTTCCTAACAAAAATGAAATGTGAAAACAATTTGACAATAATTTTAAAATTCTGAGCAGAATTTACTTCTACTGATCAGTAGAAGTAACATTTTCCAAGTGTTAATAGGTGTCAAATTTTAAAAGAAGGCTTCTTTCATGGTCAACCGAATTTGGGATTAAATTAAACAAAGCTTCCTTGGGTTTAATGCATTGATATGGATGCTACTTCCAATAGGGGGGTATGGCACTGGGGAAATACAGATATGTAACAGAACACATCAAAATTCAAAAATCTGAAAAAGAAAAGGAAAAATAAATGGCATTATTTTAAAAAGAAAACAAAATGTTTTATAAGATTTTTAATAGTACCAATTATCATTTGTTATTTAGCATAATCATAAAGGGCTTGGACTCAGAGGTCCAACATACTTAGATTTAAACCCTGATTCTGACATATATTAACCATGAGACATTGGACATTGGGCAAATTCACGCTTTTATGCCTAAAACGGCAACAATATTATACCTGGGTCATTGTTTGTATTATGAGAAAAATTTATATAAAGTACCCAGCATGGTGTTGGTACATTACAAATGAATATAATTTGATAATTATTGTCTTTGTTATTATATATTCTATTGTAATATTGCTTAAGTACTCAGAACACATTACTTGAGAAATTGTTTGATAAAGAATTCAATTACATGATTTAGATAAAAATTTTCTCAAGTATTATCTAACAAGTACAATAAAAGCCAAGCTCTCTGATGAGATATTACTCCTTTTCCCCTGACCCTTTTCCCCCAAATTTTCCCATCTCAACTTTATTTCTCCTTTACTTTTCTGAGTATTCTTCCAGTATTTTTCTGGGACTTTGGTCAGAACAAGAGGGAGTCTTATGAACAGCACCAACAATATTTGAGTCATGAAGATCCAACCCAATGAATTTCAACTCAAAAATGCAAACAGGAGTATAGCACATGTGAAACAAAAGGTACTGTTTTAGGTAACTGACTTCGGTTGAAACTGATTAAATGCATTAATGATCAGCGTATGACTTATTTATTTGTAGAGTGACTGGTAAAAATAATAGATGACACTGGGGAAAAATAATTATTTTAAAAAATTACAATATTTACTACACTTCTCTGTTACTTCAGTGACACTCCAAGAAACACCTAAGGCACATGCACCTACATTTTTAAGAAAGAAATGGTACAAAATCATATTTTAATTTAAACTATCTCTGGTGGACAGAACTGTAAAATGGGCCTCAAGATACCTCATTTTGTTTTGTTCTGTTTTTATTGAAGTATAGTCAGTTACAGTGTGTCAATTTCTTATGTACAGCAATAATGTTTCAGTCATACATATACATACATATATTCATTTTCATATTCCTTTTCAAAAGGTTATAACAAGATATTGAATACAGCTCCCTGTGATATACAGAAGAAATTTGTTTTTTGTCTATTTATGTATATAGCAGTTAATATTTGCAAACCTCAAACTCCCAATTTATCCCTTCCCACTCCCCTTCCCCCTGATAACCGTAAGTTTACCACGTCTGTGAGTCAAGACACCTCATTCTGACCCCTGGGACTGTGAATATGTCCCTGTCACATTCACTACATTACATGCAAAATGAATTTCACCGATCAAATAAAGGTTATTAATCAGTTGACTTTGTGTTCATTGAAAGGGAGACTATCTGTGTGGATCTAATGTAATTACTTGTGTTTTTTAAAGGCAGACTTTTTCCTAGCTATGAGCAGAGGAAGTCAAAGAGATCGGAAGCTTGTGGTGGAGGGAGGATTGGAGGTCAGGCTGCTGCCCCTGAAAGTGTAAACTTGGACCAGTGACATGAAACGGAACTCCTGGCGGCCTCCAGAAGCGAACAGGGATCCACCTTACAGCCGACGAAGAATTGGGCTCTCAGTGCTTGAACTGTATTCTGCTAACAATCTAGATGATCCTGGAAGAGGATTCCACCCCAGGGCCCCCGAACCGAGTCAAGCGTGGCTGACAAATTGACTTCAGCCTTGTAAGACTCAGCCAAGAACCCTGAACGGCAAGAGCACCGGAACTCCTGACCTGTGAAACTCTGAGTTAGTAAGTGGATGTTATGTGAAACTACAAATTGGGTGGTTATTGGGTATGCAGCGAGAGAAAGCAAATCACTCTCTAACCCCCACACGGGCCACATTTACTTCTTGGCAATCTTTCTGTTTAGTCTCTTTTGACCCCATTGCTTATTCCTCAGAACAAGTGGGCAACATTCCCATAATTCACTGCCTTACTGAGAAGACAGTACCCTTAGAAAGAAGCAATCAGGTTTTTCTTTTTCTCTACTTTGCAGTTTCTCTGCCGCTGTACAATCCTTCTCACTGTTTTCCAAGTCTCCAAGGGACATGATTGCTCTTTCCTACGATCAACTGATCCAGAGGTATCCATGATTCCATCTGACCTGTGCATCCAGGTCCCCAGTAATCCCATCTCTCTCTCTGGTAGAGTCAATATCTCCATCTCCTCTGCATGGAGATTCTGCCTTGTAGGGTCTTTTTCTTAATTCTCCATCATCATACATCCACAAAAGTTCATTTTCATCCTCACAATTATGATAAAGCTTAATTTGTGAAAGTTCCCAATAAATGTCTCTCTTTTTTCTTTTTTGAAGGGGAGGTAATTAGGTTTATTTAATTAATTTATTTAATGGAGGTACTGGGGATTGACCCCAGCACCTCGTGCGTGCTAAGCAAGCACTCTACCAGTTGAGCTATACCCTCCCCCGCAATAATAAATTTCTAATCAACAAAACAATGAGTCTTTCAGAGTAAGGCCTTTATTCAAAATCCCACTTCTTTTGGAATAAAATCATTCTGATTTCCTTTTAGTTTCATCATCTTTCTCTTCACACTTTCAAGACAATAAAAATAAATGTTTTGGTTAATCACGTAAATCTGCTGTTCTTTCTTTCTAGTCTCCCTCTGGGATCCCATCCTAACAGATTGTGCTCTCACCTGTATACAAATTACACTCAAATCCTTATTTGCAGCCCTGGTTACTCTTTAGTTCACCACCAAGCAGCAACTGGGTATAAAAATGCCCTTTAGAACTTTGTATCTTAAAATAGAACTTTTTATTCCACTGCTCATGTATCATTACAACTCCCCTCGTCCCTCATTGGAAGGGACTTGTCCCTTCAGTCTAGTTCCACCAAATTGTTTCCCTCAGATCAGTACTTTTCCATGCCATTTCTCTGCCTTAGTGATTTTTGTGACTCTTTACTATCAGAATCCACTGCTTTTCAGCATGTATCTAGCAGAGAAACAGCAGTCTAGATAGATGAGTCGCAGAAAGAGGTCCAGTGGTAAAATGTTTGGCAGCTTCATACTGTGGCCCCTTCCTGACGTCCGTAAACGGAAAGCTCGTGGGGAATCTGACAGTAAGCAGTCTTGTTTAGCTGAGATTTAATGCACAGGTTCCAAATTAACATTAGCAAATTAGTCCCTCCCCTCCTGCGATAACCGTTGACATGGTTTTGGAAATGAGCCTAGAAAAGAAGTTCAAATTTAGCCTCCAGTCAAGGTCCCAGAAAATATACCTTTTTAAAAAAAGATTATGTCTAAAACAGTCCCCTTGCCCCCAGCATCCAAATCCCACCATGTAGCGGTTTGTTTTTCTCACAGAAATCGGGCGAAGGTATATGTTTATAACTGTGTTTATGTTTGTTTTATATTCTCCTCTTTATTGTTGTTATCACTGTAAACAGTAGGACCCGGTATCGGTAACCTACTTCTGTCTTTGAAGGAGGGCACCCATATGGGAGTAAAAATGTCTCCCTCCATCCTCATGCTTCCTTTGGCTCTGAGTTTGTCCAAATGTAAAGATGGCATTTTGAACACTTGAACCTAC